ATGTTTTCGACCATGGCCAAGCACCATACACACACACATCTACGCAAGTCTCCTGCTCTGGAATGAGACACCAGGCACAGCGTGCAGGCTAAAACGCCGTGGCCATCACAGGAAAGAGCAGTTGGCGGTTGCGCTGCCGGCCACGACAAGACACACGGGAGAGGTCCGGTGCCTGGGCCAAGTGGGCGCTTGTTCTTTGTACACCCACCCCCCTCACCAAGTTGCCTAAAAATGGATAGATGAGATGGGGTGCTGGAAACATGGTTTGTTACGGAAAGCAGAGTGAGCAGGCCAGTCAAGAGCCGAGTCACTGTTGTATGGTCCAGCCAAACCCGGCAAGTGGATGGCACCATCCCTCTGTCTGTTGGTTGGTCCCATGACATTCGCATCCATCCATCCAAATCTCACCCAGCAGCACACGCACGCCTTACCGCACCTTGATGACCGAGTCCGGCACAGGTTTGCCCAAGTCTGCTGCTAACCAGCTAGGCTTGGTATAATTCACGGCCGAGCGAGGGCTACGACAACTTGGCTCAGGCTGAAATATGCGAACTCCGTACAATCGACAACATATCGCTCACCCGCCAGCGTCGCTTCACATCCTAGCTCTGTGGAGAGACTCAAAACGTCTCAATGTACGGTGTAGGAACGCCTTACCTTGAAATAACGTAAGAAATAGGCGGTTCACCGTGCCAGCTCCGATCGTGACCGATGGAAGCCGGCGACGATCCACCGGGCGCACCCGCAATCAGCGGCGGTGCGCAAACTTGATGCCGCAATTGCATCCCGACATGTCGACAAAGATGTCGAGAAAGCGCTTGGACATTGCGCTCGATCAAGCAGAGCCTCTCCTGTAACCAATCACCACAAGAGCCACGCCCAATGGCTTGGCTAGACCCTAAGAGGAGCATCACGACGAGCTACCACTACCATCCCGCCATCGATCATGACATCCAGCCCATCTGTTGATTATTCCCGCCGTGGCTGGTTGCCAGGCACCAGGTTCCACAGCCATTAAAGATTTGGTCACTGCTGCATCCAGAATTTTCCGCCCCGGTGTTTTTCAGGTGGGCCGTCCTGCCCATTCCGATCTGAGAGCGAAACAAGAGAAAATTTAAGCAAGACATGCGCCCCGATGACCGCCGCACATCATATCAGCTCATAATACAGCACCTCCATTGCCCATTCCTACCTTGGCCCGCCTCCTTATTGGCCAGCCGGGAGCCCCCCTCCCAGCCTTGTCGTCGCTCTGGCTTGCCCGCTCCCGTTAAGAGCTCTCCTTTAGACTCTTTCAGTCTCATGGTCAAGAAAATTTTCTCTGGGTCTTCTTCACCCCTCCCCCTGCTTCTCGAATCGACGAATCTCAGTAGCGAACAGCGCACACACCCCTCCCTCTTTGGAACATCTTTCCTCACTCCTCCTCCTTGCCAGGTTGACAGCCCACGTGTGTGTGCCCGGTTTGTGTCATCTCTCATCTCATCTCTCCTCTCTTCTCTCCATAGCCCTGGTGTAAGACTCCAATGTAACAGTAGGTGGTGTGAACACGGCTGCTGCGCACGTATGATCTATGCCAACAATTGTGAATAGCCCGCTACGTGATTGCCGTTCATCAAGGCCGCGTCGCGCTCATGATCAGGAAAATTCATTCAATTGACCATAAAAGATCAAGCTCACCACCAGGCTCTTTTTATCAATCTCTCCACCACGACGGTGCCCATTAATAGAGTCCACAGGGGTGATCTTCTTACGGAAGAAATACATAGGTAGCCCCTAACTAACCACTCTCAGCAGGCGACGCCCGGAGAGACTGGGCCCGCATGAATCAGATGTAACAGCACGCTCGGGAGCAAGAGGCTATTGAAGCATTTCACGATAGTTCAGAAGGCGCAGGATTGATTCAGCCTGCACCTCGCGGGTCCACCTCTGCCACAGACCCTGTCAAGGACTTAATGATTCGTCAAGGGTGTAGGGCTTTCCTGGAAGGCACAATTCCCGACGTGCTTATTCTCGCCTGTTTCCGAGGAGCTAGGAAATCATAGCGGAGCGGCTCAAGTAGCTACGGGCCTTGGAGCCGCTTTGTACGTAACAGATTGCAAGCAAGCCGACAACTGGCGAGCCGAACGAGCACCTCGAATCGAGTGTCGCCATTGCCCCATGAGTCAGAGGAGAGCAAAAGGGCTCCAGCAACACGATCTCGATTCAGTTTTTTGGAATGTTCCATTGCTTGGGGGTCCGTCAGCTTCCACCGGGGCGAGATCGAGTGTGGAAAGGGGAATTTATGCCAATATCAGGCGATATATCGGGAATGACCGAGAAGCGACAGGCGAGCCAAATCGAGATTGATCACCCCAGTCTGCAGTTCGGCGACGGTAATAGCATGATATTAGGTCTGTTATGCTGTTGTGACACAAAGCCCAGCACCCAAATGCAGGCAGAGTACACCGGACCAGAGCACACTGGCCTGCCGATACCGGAGCTCCCATCTCAGGTCTGCCTTGAAATATCCCATGTTCACTACTCACCAGCCTACTGATCCTCCCCGCTTGGATGGGCAATTCTTAGCGGGAACCCCATGGGAACCAACACAGAAGGTCTGGGGAGCTTTCATTGCTCACGAACTTGACCGAAATCAGTAGTTCACCGCGGCTGTACCTCAGCGTCCCATCACATGAACCCCATGAGATTCGATGTTGTCTCAATCGCAGAGTGCCTATTCCCCCCCTCCGACCCAGATATGCCAATTCTCGCCTATGCGCCCATATTAGGCAAGTTAACTACCAACCTCCGGCGGTCTTCTCTCATCATACACAGGAGCGACGACTCCGCGCCCGTACTTGTCCGTCCCCAATCCGGTCATGTGACAGACTGGCCTGAGGGTTGCGTATTACCCACCCACCATCCCGTATTAAATGAAGATCATGGTTCGATTTTCTGGCCATCCGTCATCGGACCCCCGATCCCTCACAATGGCGGACGCCGACCGCCGACGAAAGTGGGCTTCACACGCCGGGAGAATGGGAGGACACGGAGCAATGGCTTGTCGCCAGGAGTGGGAGAACTCAGCCTAAGGCCATCCTGCCCGTAAGTTCCTTCGTTCTTAGCTAGCCACCTACTGGGGTGGGTGGATGAACGGTGGGAGCAGAGCAGGCAGTTCGGTTCGCCCAGCGGCTTCAAACCATTTGTGTTACAGTGCTCCCAAGCCGAGTTGATGAACTCGGCTTCGGTGTGTGCAGGCTCGGCTTCGGAGTGCGCACCCCCGGCATCGAAACATGGTCAAACCGGATCTACGCAGCGGATCTCTTGACGATATTCGAAGCGTGCCTGTCCTTGCACATCGCTCGCCTCATGTCAGATCATAACTGCTACCGGCCACCGGAGTATTCTGTCATTTCTTCGACGAGGATTCCATGAATGTTCCATACTTAGTCAGAGGATCCATAACCACCCGAAGCAAACCGTGCCTTTCCCGATCCATGAGGTTAAATTTCGTATTGCCCTGTACATTTGGAGGAGCCGTCGGTGGAGCAGAAGGTGAAAATTTACTGATGGCGCGTGAAGGCCCGCATAAATCACCAGTCCGTAGCGCCTTGCACGCACGGGGCCCTGTCAAGTATTTTTTTTTTTTTTTTTTTTTTTTTTAACTGGGCCGCTACTGGGCCTTAATTTGATCGTCATAAGTTTTGTCATTGTGTCAAATTGTGGGAGGGTTTGCTCATCAGATGGGGCTCCTTTCGGGGGCAGCCGAATGTGATTGCTTATGTTACTTGGCGCCGTGCAGGTTGCTGTTTTTCCGAGGAGCTTACAACGGAATACTGTTCCGAGGAGATGGAACGGCTGGAGGAACTGTCACATGTGTACGATGAAGCAGATGGTGGCTTGGGCTAGGGGTTCTCGGGAAGTGTAATTGACATCATACGAGTGATTCGGATGTGCGCGGGTTCCGTAACTAGAAAGAGAGAGTTGGATTAGGGATTGGATGTTAATCAGGTAAGGTGCCTAAGGTAAGAGGGAGAAGACGCTGATGAATCAGTTTGGAATGGCGGATTATGCACGGCTGCAGGTGACGTAACGGGGGAGTGTGAGGCGTCTAACTTGTTTGAGGCGCTCCGGTTCCGATAATCATGCTATCGCCCAGGCGCTCCAATGACACCCAAGTGAGGGCGAGGAAAGAGTCAACAGGCGTCGGCATCTGATCGCAGTGGTGCTGGGCAAAGTCTGGGGTATATCGCCTATCCCGCACTTGTCACCAGATATCGCAGGTTTGGTGTTGGAAGTCGGCAGCCGGTGTCGGAAGACACGATGCAGCAAGTTGAAGAGCGCTTGTTAGCAGTTTCTGCAGTGGCTAGAAGATATAATTTGACAGTATGTAGTGTATTTTCTCTTGAATACTTATTCTTGGCTCTATCAATCGCAAGCCTGAGAACACAGCAGGTTGTTTGAGTGTCGCAATTTCAATGTCACACGGTTGGTCAGGTCTGTCCCAGCAGAACGTACTCTCGCGCATGTATTTACGCTCGTTTTAAAATCTAAATCAACACTGCTCGGAGAATTTATGTTTGTTAAGGGTAGTTACCTCCGGCGTCTAATGCCATCACAACATCTAGGCAGGCTTCCGTCTCTGCATGTTTCAAAAATAGTAGCAACACAAGATCTGCCGGATCTCACGGGCAAGTACAGATGTCAAAACCGGTTTCTGGCTCTCGAGACGCCGATATCTATTATAAGATAACAACGCATTCTCGTAGCTCAATCTTGACACATGCAGCAAAAATGTCACAGAGATGCAGGGCATGTGCGGGACGTTCATCAAACTTTCTCTTACATCCGATGTGAGAATAGCTAGACTAATGTCTATCTATCATCGCTACCATATCTCCCAGGTGTGAGTGAAAGATAAGAATCTGTGTCACCTGTAGTGTATTGACTGTAGATTCTACCATGCTCTAATCGTAAAACAAGACGTCAATCACAAAACTTGCCAAATGCGAGCTATACTTTTATAACTTGAGTCGTTCAAAGTGGTCGTGGACAATGGCCATTTCGCCCGAAGAGAACTAATTAGACTTCTATTCAACTTTTCAAACCCATTCGCTTTAAATTTTGACAGGGGCGACCAAAATACCCATAGGCTCAAAATGAGAGCCGTCAACGGGACAGAAGTCACTGCAAACATCCATATCTCGCGGCTTGCTACAAATTGCCCCGTCTCCGATAGGTTGAAGAAAGCCATCCCGAAGAAGCTCGATACGGCTGTCGCGGGAAGGAACACCATCGTCAGCACCGCGATCGTCTTCATACTCGCGCTATCGTTCTTCATGTCCCGGGATATCTCCGTGCTCGTTAGGCTATCCTGCTGCGTCAGAAGGTGAAACACAAGACTCATGGCTGTATCCTTGCTGTTCTTGTACCCCTGGATGTATTGCTTCTGCGAGTCAAGGGAATCGACGAGGTAGTTCAACGCATCGCCCACGTTGCTGGCGGCGAAGACGCGGCTGGGCTGGGCCTCCAGCAGTTCCTGCCGGGCGCTGACGCAGTGGGTTGCCACCTCTGAGCCAACCTCGATGCTTCTGTACAACGCGTCTGCTTCTTCCGAGAGGGCGTATAGCTTTTGGGTGATGGCGTTGAGCAAGCTCCCGTCAGTAGGGCTCTGGGAGTACACTGTCACGGCCTTCGAGACCATGGAGAGCTTCCCGCGTAGCTCGCTAATGAGGGTTTTGGCTTCGATTAACTGTTCGTGACAGAGGATGCTCTGGAGAAGAAACGGATCTAGCGACTCTGCTCCTTGTAGTGACGTCTCTGGACCAGTGCGGAGGTAATACTCGGCAAGACGACTCTTGGCTCGAGACACCCAAGGGTCATCGTCGGCACTGGTGATGATATACGTAGTCAGGGCTTCTGATATGTTATATGATATGTAAACCGAGCAGGGCTCGTCCCTTTTCCTGTGTATGTTGTACCGTGGATGCTGGTAACAAAATTCTGAGCGGAATTGGTAAACATACGGCTTCCCTTGGCACATGGTAACGCTCACCTGCCCGATAGACCTTGCCGCTCCTCTCTCGTGACCGAATTACAACCGGCGCCCAGTAGTCAGGCTCCCCAAACAGAGAGGGGCAAAATTGAGGACAAACCTGCAGCGCATTCAACATGACGAGAGTGTCTTGTCTTGTCATGTTGAGCCTGAAGCCAAAAGCAGCACTGGGAACTGTCTTCAAATCACAGAAACTGCTGCAATCAGCGTTCCAACTCAAGAAAAAATTGACAGGTTATAAGCTTACATTGCTCTCATTTTGAGATTCTCGGGGGGCGTAGATAATTTCTTCTCGCGTTAGAACACAAGAGCTCAGGCTGGGCCATCAGTCTGCCAACCTACCTCGAAGTGGGCGGACACTTCACAGGGGCCCAACCGAGTCCAAATTCCAACAGGACATGATTTCCCATCATGATAGATTTCGAAGACCTCACATTTTGACTCGGTCGCGTAGTTGTGCTTGCTGCCCAGAAGCTGTTGTATACGGGTGATGTTGTGAAGAGAAGGACACAAGCTAGTCACGTTTGTAAAAGGGTACTGTGGTTCTTCAATGCCCTTTGGGTTTGATATCCAAGGCATGGGCAGGGCCTCTGATTGGCCATTGGTTTTCAGCATTGCCCATATGTCTATGAGGATTAGATAGCTATCACAAGGGACAATGAGAGGAAAATCTCAAACGAGTGGGTTGCGTGAACGGTGTCATCCAAGATCAGGTGATCTAATCCCCCAAAGTACCGCAATTGCATAGCTAGGATCCATTGTCATTGGTACGATAGATTCGGTTGGATTGTGCTCTCTTCAAGCTTATTGAGGGGTGTCTTAGCATTAGCTCAAGCGGAAATTCTAACAGGTTGATGCTATTTCTGGTTGGGATACAAAATGCTTTTTTCCAGTTCGAGAGACTACCTGTACGTAAACCATTTGGGTCGGCTACACAGTTGAGTAATGGCATGATGCAACTTGGGGCACTTCACCGCCTCTCTGCTGTACGTGCAGATTCCGCTCCATCAGATCACCAACTTTATTTTTCATAAAATCTCATAACTACCAGGTTTTAATGATCAATTTTCATGAGGTCTAGGCGATACTTTCACAATCGGCCCAGTATCAGATAACCAACGACAAGGCGGTCTGTCCCAAACCCCCTCCATGCAATGTAACCCTTTCATCCTCCTCATGATCTCTCAACCCCTCATTTGATCACTTTGGTTCCCCCCATCAGGGCAAGTGTGGTGACTCTGTCAATGCGGCTGGCTTGAGCTAATGCAGCCGCAATCCTTCGTCCAGCCCGATCTTCACAAATTGCACATTACCTTATGCTCCTTATCGACTCAGTGCTACCTAGATCATGTGTCCACTAGAATATTGTTCATATTTGTGTCGGCAAAGGAGGGAAGTAATCTGCTGCGTTGATTTTCCCTCTTTCATGACCCTGGTTTATTTATTCATTTACTAAAGACTTCAATATGCATTTAAATTGCTTCTTAGGTCTCCACCTGTAGGTATAGAACGATAATGAAGTGCTCTCCCTGCCTTAATACCGTCAATCCAATCCAGCATATCAAGAGAATATTTCATAGCCGCCGTAAATTTCCAGATACCAGATGTTCCACCAACAATTCCGCAAATAAGCCTCTGTGAATTGGACGGGTATGCGTTCATCTCATATTAAATGCATATCAATAGCCACATGTGGAGGTTTAGGGTCTGTTGTCAACTTCATTAGCGCTTATGAAGGCACTTCGTTCATTTTGTTGGCATCATGAAGCGAATTGGAGTAAATTCCTCCTTTTCCAAAACGGATAAGAACATCGCTATCTCCAACTAGTTGTGCAGCTCGACCCTCAGAAACAATACTCCAACAGCCTTCCTAGCTGACTCGTGCAAAAAACCCAAGAAAGGGGGGTTTTTTCTTTTCTTTTCCTGGCTACTTCTAGGCACCTAGTAAGATTTTCTAGTCTTACCATACTATTCAAGTGATATGGGATTTTGATGAGTTATGGCACCCAGCTCCTCTCAGCAACACCTATGGCCTTCGTAGAATCCCGCTCACGAAACATTCACGACGACCAAAGGCCGCTGCTTGGATTTTTTCTACCAAGGATTATCTCAACTCCTTTCCCAGCCTCTTGATTCTCTATAGTATATCAATGAGGTAGTCGTTCAAGCCAAAGATCCAGATTTGAGGCATCTCTAACAGCATGATCCAGAATCAGTTCATGCTCGCAGATACTTATATCTTTAGTAGCTCGTCTGGACCCCAGTTAGTGGTAGGTCGTCAGGCGGTTCAATCTATCTTCAAATTCGCCCCCTGAGACCTGTGTTGAGAGCTGGAGCGCACTATTAGCAACTTCAGGACACTTTCGGATTCCCACCATCTGATGTGGAAGCTTGGCTGCTTTTAGTCAGAGTGATTGGGAGGTTTCTCTGTAGAGGAGGCTAGTGGGGAGAGGAGTCCGGATCGTCCCTTGCTCAATTTATTGCAAAAGCTCAATGGGCTGTGTATGGTAGAGAGCCCTCCGAGTGATCTTGTAATGATGATATCAACAAGTAATTTCATTCCAGTAGGAACAGCAACAGTGACGTCAAAGTCAAAAGAATCATCAGTAAGAAAGCCCGCATCTCCCAGGGCTCCGCTCCCTACGTATCAAGAAATGGCAAACTCATGTCGCTAAAAGCATACCTACCCTCTGCGCCGATTTTGCCCACCAGTTTACAAAACCATAGCGTTCCTAGTCGGGATCTAGCCTTGGCATCACCACTGGTTTTCTATAACGCAACTTCATCCCATCTTGACAGCATAACCTCACCATATCTCTCATATGCTTGAAAGCCTCTTTCAAGCTGCCGCGCGTGCCAAGTCGAACCAATTGCATTACAGCCAAACTGTATCGCGCTTATATATATAACTGCATTTCGGATCCAGGCTTGAAGTGACCAACATCTTTCAACCGTTACTTTCCCATCAGGTAGGCTAACCTACATATGTTGGATAGGGGGCGGCCACCCCAGATCTTCCCGCAAGTTACTCACCTTGAGATGTTTCATGAAGCGCTATTAGCTCTGCTATCCAGCGTGCCAATCGGAAGAGTAATGAAGTTTGGGTACAAACAAGTTGAGGATATTCCTGGACTGAGTCACCCAATACCCAACCGAATTACATGTAGCAGTGAAGAGTTTAGAATATAGCTCCGTGATCATATCTAGCTTCAAAAAATCAGTCTCGGAGGCTCCAAAAATCCATTTGAATAGTATTCCCTCCTAGAATTAAATGTCTGGGCTATGATCCTTATTTGGTCCAGACAAACCGAGAGCATACAGGCTGTGTTCATTGAATGTGGACGGCTGGTGGTTGTCTAGGGTGGCCAGGGTTGAGCCTACTGGGTCTGGGTGCTGGATTAATGATATTCCTGCCCCGCCAAAAATTCCCAAGCTTCCCAAGCTATGATTACCTACGCACTCTGAACAACCTGACAACCTCAGCGAGCAGGACGAATCTCTCGAGTCAACGACTTGCCCGACGACCCAACCTACAACTGCGCAACCGTCGCATAATCTATCCAACTTCCGAATTGCAAAATGACAGGACGCGGTGGTGGCGGAGGCCGTAAGGTTCTCCTTCCTCCTATGTGAGTCCCACGTGCCCAGCTTCCCAGTCGCGTTGGAGTAACTGACAGCATCGTTTAGCAATATGATTTTCAAGCTCCTCCAGACAGTAAGCTTGCCATAATTTTGTTTTTACCGCTACTCCCCCGAATCTACGCGACAGTGGCAGTGTTGGACCGGAGCGACCCCACCGCAAACAAAGTGAATCATGTCGAGACTCGGAAACGAAATGCGCATCGGCTGAAGCTTAACCGCAACTGAGCAGCAATTGGAACCTGCTTTTCTGTTTTGCGTTGTATTTCGCAGAGGCCGATGCTTGAATATTTTGAGATTATTCAATCGACGTGGGGTTGCCTTGGGGTGACGACTATTCGCCCATACCAATACTTGCCTAGGATTCGGGGGCCCATACACCACTTGATATCTGTTGAATATCGTTCCTGCATTGCTAACCGACTCTAGCACGCGAGAGTTAGTGTGTGGCTCTATGAGCAGCTGTCCATCCGAATCGAGGGAACCATCAGAGTGAGACAATGAACCCATTCGCAATGAATCCAACGGGACAAAGCTAACTTTGGGCATCAGGGGTTCGATGAGTTCATGAACCTTGTCATCGATGATGCAGTCGAGGTTAAGCAGATCACAAAAGACAACCCGGTAGAATCGAGGAAGGAACTTGGTATGCAAAACGTCACCATACATGACACAGCAATAGCGAGAATACTAACTTGGTTTGCAGGTCAGATTTTACTAAAGGGAGACAACGTCTCATTGATCCAAAATCTCCAGCAGGATTATTAGAGTTTTTTTATTTGGTTAACATGAGAGCCGACGTTGAGAAAATATGAATTCGGGTTCAGGCGCTTTAAGAGGACATTTTATGTTGGAATTGATGACTTTTAATACCTGCAAATGGCAGCCGGCTTTCCTTCTCCCCGATATCCACTCTTACAGATGTCTGTCTGCAAATTCAGCAGAAGTCCCAATCGTGAGTCTCAATACAGTGTGGTGTCCAGCAAGCAGATCATTCATTCACGGTGCTTCTGCGATTTCGAGGTCCTCGGGAGGGAGGCAGGAAAGCGGACGAAGGTGTCTTTACTCTGTAAAAGCAGGACTGCGTGGCATGGCCTCGAAATATTTATTCTCGTGGCCCAACACGACTTTGGCGCCTTTCTTTTTGGCAAGGTGCTTAGCGAACTCGGAGCTGCGATACCAGGCTGTGTAGTCCCTTATCAGCGGCCCGGACTGCGGGATCCCGTCTTCGAAATTCTCCTTGACATGGAAGAGGTCGCTGGTGAGCAGCACCGTGCCCGCTTTCTCCATGGTCAGCTCCATCATGATGGAGCCAGGTGTGTGGCCTGGAACATGGTGTAGTCTCACACCGGGCCAGATATCGAATGTCTCACGTTTGAATGTCTTCCAGTTTAACTTATCGGGAACTAAATAGTGCGGGACCATGAACGCGCGGTCCATTCCCGTTGCGCATGACCAAAATGCGTATTTGAGCTCCTCCTCGTGGCACCAGATTTCGACTTCTATCGTTCACATGCAATGGTCAGCCTTCAAGCCAAGTATGGGCATTTGATTCCAGGTATGAGGTGTGGCATCGTCTCCCACCTGTTCCCATGAAGTTCTCCAGTCCACCAGCATGGTCGTAATGTAAATGGCTAATAACAACTGCTTTGACATCCTCTATTGTCCCCGCACCTGTTGCTTTGATGGCAGATGGGAGGTCATGAACCCCTTTCTCCCATTCCCGAGGTGTGCATTCTGCGATTGCCGGGTGCCAGTTTTTAATTATGTCTTCGCAGCTACCGACATCGAAGAGAATCAAGCCAACAGCGGGGTGAGAAAGCAATGCGGAGATCATCACGGCATCCCGCCGCTCATGCTCGATTGGCCCTTTGCCAACGCCAGTAGAGTTTGCTCCCGAATAGAGCGCAGTAGCTTCACAATCCAGATGGCCCAAATCAAGTAGCTGAATGTCAAATATGAAGTAAGCTTTATCAGAGAAGGTAAA